ACCGGAGCACCTGAGTGTTTCGGCGGAACCGGAGCACCTGAGTGTTTTGGTGGAACTGGAGTACCTGAGTGTTTTGGCGGAACTGGAGTACCTGAGTGTTTTGGTTGGGGATCTGGAGGAGCAGCGCCAGACTGCTGTAGTCAAAGTTGTCATCCAAGGCGACCAGAGCTCCGTGCACGCCGCTCTCTAGCAGGATGTTGGCGTAGTCCCGCAGGCCTATGCTCTGCACCCATCGGATGACCCGCTCATTACTCCACACCAGAACGTCTGCACACACACAGGGACAGAAATCTCAACTTAAAGCTTCACCCCTTTCTATTCATTTGTAGCATCTGGTTTTGGTTTGTTAACACGTTTTATTTTGGTTATTTTGGTGCACTTGCCTCTCATTTCGTGCTGACTGTGCTCCCTGCGTCTCTCCAGTTCCTTCCTGTCATAGTTGAGCTTCTTCAGACCCATGATGCCATACTGTAAACTTGTTCTGGGGTTAGAAAAATCACACATTTACATCGTCATGTGACAGAAAGAGTTACAGAAACTAAATATTTTACATATATCTGTGAAATCTACGACTGATTCTCTCTGCTGGCGATCGATGAGGTCAGTCCAGTACCTGTGGAAGCTGTCCACCATTTTGAGGTGCACCCTCAGGTCCTTCTTGGTGAGGTGGTCCAGCATGCGTGCGTCCACCAGGCACTCCATGAAGTAGCTGCGGTACTGAGGTAGTCCTAGACTGGGCAGCCACTCGTTCCCTATCCACTCATGGTTCATGTCGCCATAAGCTAGGGTCTGATGGAAACGACTCGAGTCAGCACACTGATGCTTTTACTGGATACATGTTCATGCTGTAAGATTGAACCTTACCTGTGCCCAGCTGCCCTCCTCAGAGTCCGACTTCTGATTGAAACAAGGAAAAGAAAAAAGTTGACTTTTGACAGGAAATGAAGGTCCACTGTGATCTGATCGCTCAGTAACAAATACTGCAGCTGCACACAAACGATACTTAAAATGCAACTGGCAAGACTGGCTGTCTTGAAAATGGTACAAGATTACCTTTTAGCGCTCTCTGTACTGCAGGTTCTGAAGTCAGAGATAAAGCACAATGTGTGCGATGCATGTTTGGAAGCAGTAGCTTTAGAATAAAGCCTTAGAATGAGGTAATATTCCTGCTATGAGTCCTGTAAAATGGGGTGATGGTACTTATGGAGTTAACCAGTTATTTATTCTACTAACTAAAATGCAATGATCACAATGTACATAATGAAAAATCTACATGACCACAGCTTGAAATAGCCTCACAACGATGTAGAAGTTCAAACACGGCACATCAGATCTCGAGAGTTCTCAGACTCACCGATGTTCAGACCTGCAGAAGCTAAATGCTGTTACTGTAGGGATCTGGTGTGTTGTGAGTTTTGGGTGGCGTTACTAGAAATAAGCAGTGTAGCATTGATGATTCATGAACTTTCACAATGGAAATGAACCGAGTCAAACTCCAGCACCTTCACTGAGCCATCATCAGCAACAAAGCATGCCTCCTCCATCAGTCACCAACCAGGTGTCTCTACATTCAACCCCTCGGATAGCCGCGCTCACACCCAGACGCACATGACTGACGGAGAGAGGAAATGGGCGACGGCGAAGGACACAAGGGGACTGACCGTTTTGGAAGGGGCCGCCATGGTCTCCATCTCCTCATGGGTCAACCATACATTGCCTGACGCCTACAAGGGGCGGAGCCCGAGAGACAGAGCAGCAGCAGCAGCAGCAGGGTTGGTAGTAGAGGTCCGGTAGGAGGGGCAAGCAGTGTTAAAGAAGAAGAGCAGCACCACTGTAAGCCAATAGTGTTATAGCATCACAGTCAGATCATGAACTGGCCCCCAAACCCGCCAGGGGTGAAAGGGCATACGAAGAGGACAAAGCACAGGACGTCCCGGTTTAGGCACACAGTACAAATAACAGACGGCTGCCATGCACGACAAGAAGAACAAATAAATTAGTACCATAGACACCAACAGAGACACAAACACCACATTACTCCTCCCTCTACATCTATATTCTACCAGTAAAGGGTCAGTTCACTCAAACCACATGAAAGACACTTCTCTCAGGTGTTATCTAACCTGCAGTGAGTAGTCAATGGGGACTATTTCTTTGGTAGAAAGTAGTTCCAATCAAAACAGTGCACTTAATTCCAATGGGGTGGAGGCAGAAATCTCAGCAAATATAGCTCCAAAAATATCACAACTAACCTTTTTGTGATTTGTGTGAATCGACCCTTTATTCTGAGCCACTGTAGCAACAGTTCTGCATCCACAGCGAGGCACATGACTCCTAACGATGGAGGACTTCATTTTACCTCCCTCAACTTTCTGCTCGACATACACGCCAAACCACATTCACAAGGTCAATTCACCCCCTCTGTTAAATGTGGGTGGTTTTAAATGCGTCAAAGCTTTTGGGGGGAAGGGGTTGTGATCGGACGCGTGGCGATTTTATGAGGTGTGGAAGTTTGTGCTAAGTGGTAGATGAGAGGGTGCGGTAAAGGAGGAACAGGGGTGAGAGCATAAAAAGAGTACCACTGGTGTTATTCTACGATGGAACTACGAGCTCATGAGTTATGACTACTGCATGCATAGATAATCCTGTGTGGAGACTACAAACACAGACTTTAATGAATATCCTCAAGCTGGGTTTGTGTAACGGCGCACACCTTCTCATGTCGGCATGATGTATGGTCTGCATTGTTTGTGCACGTGTACCTTTAGTATATAAAGCGTATTAGTCCTTGCTCTGCGGAGCAGCACGGCCCTTAGAGACAACAGGGAGCTATGAAAGCGACTGTGGTGTGGAATAACTGGAGAGCTACTGTAAATCACAGTACACACCGGAGCGATGTTCTACAAACAGGGCCATCACCGACTCCCACTGTAATACTCACTCACTTATCACGGAGGCTGCAGGATGTAAAATGTGCTGGGCGGCTCTGAGTGTTACTGTGTCGCTCGTGTGTGGAGGCGTTGTTTATGAAAGCAGAGAGAGGACAGTCGGTTATACAAACATTTGTCAGAGCTGATCTGGAGGCGGACATTATTTTTAAAGAAGTAATTCGGGCTAATATTAGCAGAATGAAGTGATGTTAAACAGGACAGGAGTGAGAGGAGTGCTAGTGCTCTCATCTATGCTTGTTCGCTTTTTTGGCGAGAGTTATATGAGAAGATTAATGTTACTGTTCCATGTGAAGCTGGAGCGAGCAGCCTGCTGGCGTGGTGTAGCATAAAGACTAGAAACAGCTAGTCTGGCTCTGCCCAATGGTATAAAATCTGCATACCAGCACTTATAAATAATTAACATGTTCATAACCAGCCATAAAATCACAAATTGTAATTCTTTGGTTTTTGTGGTGGTTGTATTCGGATGTTTCCCCGTCTCCGGTCGTTGTGCTAAGCTAACAGGCTGGAGGTTGTTCCAGCTTCATATTAAACAGACAGATATTAAAGTGTCTCTGATCTAGATGTAGTTTTTTAACTAATTTAACTAATACAATTGTTTTCCTGGTTCCTTCTCTTCCATTTACTCATAATCACTTCTTCCTCTTGATTAGCTCAACAAATGCTCGTACAACTGAACTCCCGGCCTGCGTCCACGTTCCCATACGTTCTGTACAACTCACGGTTCTGGAGGTGGGCGGTGCAGAGGGGCTGGTGAGGGAGACCATCTCCTGGATGGCCAGGCGGAGTTTGAGGCGGTGCAGAGGGTTGCTGATACCGATCTCCCTCTGGATCTCGGTGTCGGATAGGGCCGACATGATGGCTCCGCTCTTCACGTTGGCGCGGCACGCCGCCACGTACCAGGCCGGCATTCCCAACCACAGCTTTGCCACGAGGAGAGGAGAGGAGACAAACAAGCACAGGATGTTGAGTTTGGATTGAAAGTAGAAGTAGCTCTTTCCCTCTGAATATCTGGTTGTCCATCTTAAAACACCGTGGACATGATTTGGTTTATTTAACTCCATATTTGTGTCAAGAAACAGTTTTTATTCCACCAAAATATTAAAAATTACTTTTTTTCCAGTCGCGATTGCAGCGTCTTCATCATTCATTTAGTTCCTTGATAGTCAACATGCTTCACAGGATTTCCAATCTTGCCTCTTCAAGGCCTTTTGTTCAATAACTACCAGCAGACTATTAATAACTGGAGCATTGAGGTCTGGCCTGTTGGGAGTCATGAATTGACTGGTGGCTGTACATCCACTGAACATCAGGGGGCAGCAGTGTTTCTACAGTTTGTGTTCAGTTAGGCCAACAATACAAGTCAAGGGGAACCGAGCCAGTGATTCATCATACATTTTAAAAGGTATTGTTTTGGTTTATCAATGTTTTTGTTACTTATATTATAACAATATAAAAAAAGTTACAATTATTATATATTAAATGGCTTGTTTTATGAAGTCAAAGATGTGTAACATGTAACATGTGATGTCAAACTTCATCACATGCATACATAGTAAACATTAAGGTAAACGGGACCTTATTTAGTCTGAATTCTGAATATTCTGTTATTTAAAGACAAACAGGGTAAACTGTGGGGTACATGTAGGACAAGTCAACAGGAAGCTTCTGAGCAGGAAAAGTAAAGCTCTTCGGTCTTTACATGCACCTTTAGTACCTTGCAGGTATGTTCATTTATAATGGAAAATCACCTGTTAGAGATCAACAAACAAAGTGACTTCTTACCTCCAGCCAGGCTACAACGGTGGGACCGTCCCATTGGGCGAAAGGTAAACCCTTTCTCCTGGCCTCCTCCAACAGCTCGTGTCTGGGGGCGGGGACAGAGGAGACCTTGTATGAACACATGTACTTGCACATCATAACAAACACATTTTCTCCCGTCCGTTACAACACCACACCCGTATAAGCTCTCTCACATGCTCACTGCTGCACACAAATCCCTTCAGTCACAGCGTCGCGTCTGTGTGTGTGTTAAGGATCGTGTGTGTGTGTGTGTGTGTATAATACATGAGAGGAGAGTACTCAAGCACATTTTTATCTCCCGGTGTTGTAAAGGGCCGTGTTTTATCATTGATCTCTGTGCTGCCAGAGAGCGGCGCAGACAAGCACACAACTGTAGCTACACTCAAACACACATGGGCTTTATATTCCTGAACTCAAGAGGGGATTCACTCACTACATCCATCCCCCGATCCCCAAACCCGTTAACATTCTCCTCGTCGTACGCCTACAGTATTTATCATCTTAAATTCACTGCTAGAAGAAACTAGGACCAGCCCTGTGTGCCAACATGTTTTAACCCTGTAGGTTTCATGGTAGGGACATCAGTAACTCATTTAAATACCTGTAACTCGATGATCAATCCGACTCAGAAGTTTGGCATGACTAATTCTCGCTGGAGCCCTAATATTATAACGTATTTAGGTAACCATTGTGTAAATATCTGATTAAAATAACACATTTAGAGGATTGTACATCCTTGGTGGAGATACTATACAGGGCTGGTCAATATATTGATATTATATTAATAACGAGACTAGAGATCGTAATATGACACAAGTGTTTTGAAGGCTGCGTTACAATAAATGGATACAGATTTCTGAACTTACCAAACTGTTCTATTATTGCCTGAAGCCAGTTAGTCACTATATCCACCTTAGTGGTGATTAGCAGGTTATTATTAGCATTGTGTGAATATTTAATAAAAGCCCCAATAATCAACTCTACAATATTGCTGCGATATTGATATCGAGGTGTTTGGTCAAATACAACAGCACACTGATCCACCTGGGAGGCACCGAGCTACAGTGGACCTGGACACTACGCTGCTCATCTAAGCACAATTGTCCAACTGATCCCAGTTCAGAATGTATTCTGCTGAGAGAGATTGTTCTTTTGTTGATGCAGTGCTTAAATCATGCAGCGGGGTATTTTTAAAAGTAGCTTTTCATCACATTGTCTGGGCTGCGCTCCATGTTTTTATTTGTTGTTGTTGTTGTTGTTGAGCAGGTATTGAAAGTGAAACCTAAGAGGGCTGAGTGGTGCTTTTGTTTTGCCTCACTCAGAGCGATGTGAATTATCGACAAGAGAGCAGAGTGTATTCAGGGCTCTGCATTGAGCACAGAGCTATCTGCATTGTGCCGAATCCTCCCACACTCGGCCAGACATGGAGAACTTAGGCACACACACTCGTACTCACACCCACACGCCAAAAAACAACGCCGTTCTTATTCTATTTGGGGAACACATTTCATGACAGAAACTCGGAATCAACAACGCTTTCCCCGAGTGTGTTGTCAAAGAACTTGACAAATGGAAAAGAGTTTTGCTTATTAACAAACATGAGACATGTAGCACTCGGAGCGTTGAAGGCCTCAGTACAGTGAAAGGGCACTTAAACACAGCATACATGGCACACAAGCCTACAGGTGATGGGGGGGGGGGGGAAATGTGTTCGTCCAAACACAACCAGGTACAATCACTGTCTCATCTATCCAGCACATGAAGAGATAGCTCATGTTGTATTTTGTTATGTTCAGGTCAGGTCTAATGCATGGAGGAATACAGCCACTGAACATAGCTGGGGAAAGGGAAGTAAGGAAACAGTTATGACAAATCATACAAACAAAAAGAACATTTCCCATAACCAGATATTACAGCTGGTTATTTCACACAGATAGAGAGAGAGAGAGAGACATATAAGGAGAGGAAGACATTCCAGGTTTGAAAATTGGGCCCCAGTTTTAGCGGCGGCACATTCTCTGTCCAGCCAGGGATGCAGCTGCCATTGAACTGTGAAAGAGGGGGGAAGAAACGTCTTCAGATGGTAAATGAAAATAAAAAGAAAGAGAGAGCGCAATGGCGTCGTTAACAGCCATGAGGGGATAGAGAAGACACATATAGATAGATAAGAGACGTCAGCTTTGGCACTGGCCTTTCGGGAGAGGACGCATGGCGGACAGACAGGAGAGATGGCAGACAGGGCAAAATGGCTGAGACAATGGGTCATATCCAGGAGGTCAGTTATACATCCTCACAACTTACCCGCTTTGTTAGAGTCAGAGGATGATGAGAGGGAGAGGAAGGGTAAGAGAGGAGAGAACCAGAGAGCAAAGAAGGGAGAGAAAGAAGAGAGAGAGAGCGACGGGGAGACAAAAGTACACAAATGTTAATGACTCAATAGGCAGTTAAGGGTACGGCTCTGAACAGAAACACGTGCGCTCACACACGCGCTCACACACACACACACACACACACACACACACACACACACACACACAC